GATTTTAAATCAAAAAGGATTTGAAATCACGCAACCCTGATCGACAGCCAGTTCGAAAACGTTCTATCTAAGAAAACTTTTCTTGAGCATCCTACTCCGGAAATTGATTGAAAAGTTTTTAGAGATAAGGCGTTTTCGAACTGGCTGCCGAGATAGGTCGATCTTTCACTTAGGTATCGATACAGAGTAATCTTTTAGGAAGAATTTAAAATTTAGTACAACTTTGGAAAAAAGGCGAGGTACCGCCCTGTTATTTTAAAATGTGTGTAACTCAGTAATTAATTGACAAATTTTAGCGAAAATTCGTACATGTGTATGTGTAAGTATATTGCGTTTAAAACAACAAGCTAAAAAAAAACCCGACTTCAATGTTTACATTGAAGTTTAGGGGTACCGTTAGTTTATTCATGATCCAATGATCGCAACTGAACCAAATCAGTACGGGACCAACCCCAGAGGTGTTACCTTTAAGATAAAAAGAAAAAAATTTCGAAAACGGTTCACGTGCTCCAAAATTATGCGGTAACATACATACATACATACAAAAAATATTCCGACGTACTGATAAACTTCTCCTTTCTTTTTTGAAGTCGAAATATGAAATCGGCACTAACTATGTAAGTATTTTAACTCATTTTGGTTATTACATGTACATACATATCTTACATACATATGTACATATGTAAATATGTAAGTATGTTTGTGAAGGCCATAAGTGCTGCGCTTATAAATATTTTGAAAATATTTAATTTCCCATGCGTGTATTCTTATCGGCATCGAATGTCCTTACGTATCTTGATTTGAGTATCTCAATCCTGTGCGGCCGGTTAAGGGATAATTCACATGTCAAATTTCTTAGCGATCATATTTATTTACCCCTTTTTCTTAAGATTATTGCAACTAAAATGAACACAAGTACCACAGACAGGCTCCTTTAATCATTTACAAGTAATTTATTGTGAAATTAAAAAAAAAAATCGTCTAGGTTAAATGCAAGCGAAAAAGACAATAGCTAAACACAACAACAACATTACATATGCACAATGCATTCATGCGGGTCAGTCGTGTGTCGAGTGATGATATGCGATAGTTACGGTGACCATATTTATGAAAGCCGAATACAATATCAAAATTTTGTAGGATAATTTTCTCGAGATTTTTACCCCGTAAAATTTGTTAAAAATTTTCGTTAAATTTTAGTATAATAAAGTGCAATTTTAAGTCGGTAAGGCTTACCACTAATTTTTGGCAACTTTTTTTTGTTGACGGTGTTACGCATTTTTTCATTTAAAGTATGTATGTTCGATCTTTTTTTTTTTGAAAGAGAAGCAAATGAGCAGCACTTTTCACTCGCACTTTATTATACTCAACCTTAATGAGTTACAAAACTGCAAACCAAATTTTTTTCTAAAGATTCTAATTAAAAAGTTTGAAACTTTGGGGAAACATTGCAGAATTAATTTTTATAGTTTTTGCACAAAGTTGAAAATTTGGTATTAAAAGAGCGGTACTTTAATAAAATAAATAATAAACATTAAATAAACTAAGGAAAAAAAGACAACACTTACTAAAATGTCGAGTCCTAATTTCTATTTTGGCCACTGTATGTATTCCTCGATTCGAATCATAGGCATTCAGATTAGAAGATTATAACTGTTTATAAAGAAAATTACGATTATATACCAACATCACTTAAAACTCGTTCATAGGCATGCCATTTTAATGAGAAGTTAAGGCGTCAGAGCACCGAATACGGGACAAATAGAGGACATTAAAAGAAATACAGAACATTTGGCGTCCCGTATAATATAAATTAATTAACAGGACAATGGGCCAAAAAAGAGGACTGTCCCGTATAATACAGGACGGATGGTCACCGTAGCGATAGTTCATAGACTCTTGTTACCCTTATGTCGCAATCTAATGCAGGGGGGTAGGGGGGTGCGAGCGCGTGCGTAACAATGCGTCCTGTGTATGCGGATCGCACAAGACAACAGCTAAAAAAGGAGCAAAATACGATGCTGGAAGTGATGTTGAACAACAATTTTAGATATTCGATGTTATTTCTTACAATTTTGCTGTAGTCCTGGATGCGATGTATACATATAAACATACACACATATATATATGTACATATGTATGTGTGCGCAAGTGCTTGTGGTTGTTTTCAATTCACATGAAGAGTTGTTTTTAAAGGAATCCAGCGTCCTTGTTATTATTGCTGCCTGCCGTTCGTGCCACACAGTGGCTTGTCAGTTTGCCACGCTGTTGATCGAAGTGATTCGATACTGTCTTTGGACGTGATCTGGACAAAAGATGCAATGCCGATTTGTTGATTGAATTGGACGCTGGTGTGAATGTACATATGTATGTATATATGCAGGTATGTATGTAGGTAAAAGAAATGCGAAGTGAAATCAGCGGTAAATGAATTTTACGTACATAAATTGCGGGAATTAAATGGCTACATACATACACAAAACGCTAAGTATGTATATTCATATGTAGTATATGTATACATATATCTACGTTTTTAAATTCAATATGGCACGTACAATTCGCTGCAGGATAATATCTTTTTCAACAGTTCACAAATCTAAATTTTTGCGATCAAAGTTTGCTGATACCAAAATTTCTTTCGCTATTTTTGAATTTAGCGTAACATTTTTATTTAGTTTTTTTTTGATTTTCTTATGGCTCTATGTTGACAAATTGGCGAGACCGCTGAGTACTGTTTGAGAGGCGTGAAAAAAGTGTGAAAAAGGCAAAAGATACAAAAAAGTGCATATAACGCGTTGTACGCGCCTGCGCATAAATTAAATGTCACTGACACGAATGATGAGCCTATTGATGGGTTGAAGAAAGAAGCTGGAAAAGCCAGCAGCATGCTTCGAAGAAGAAGTGGAAGTAGAGTGGAAGTGCTGGAGGTACATATACATACATATAAAAAATTCTCACAAATACATAAAGTACTTATATATGTAAATACAAGCACTGATGCACTCTATATCTATGTATGTATGTATGTATATGTTGGTGTGAACAAATTCAAAGGAGGCATTAAATTAGTACACTTTGACAGAGAGGAAAGAAGAAGGGAGCTATTTGAGCTATTTTAATAATGTATGTATGTATGTACAAAAATATTCAAGTTTTTCTTCCCCAAACCGACTAAGGTGTAACGTATCCAAATATTTTTGTACCAATGTCCCGAAAATTTATTAATACATTTTTAGTTAACGCCTCACTGCAACTATTCGCCTTTTAACGGAAGTTCGATAAACGCTTTGGAACAGTTTGCGGCATATGCAAACTAGTGGAGCGTTCATTATAGGGATTTTCGTCCTTTCGTTCGCAGTTGCTTTTGCGGCTCAATTGCGTTTCTGATTGAGCGTGAAATTTTTGATGCAGCAATGCGCGTGTTATACGAACACTCACTGTCACACATAGGCACATATAGTCATGAGAAAAATAATACGCACGCGATATTTTTAACAATTTTAGCTATGTATTTTCTTTTGTTTGTTTAATGTTTATATTTGTTTTTTTTTTTTTTTGTAAAAATACAGCTTATTAACTAACAAAAATCCTATAAGTCCAAATTGCAAACTTTGTAGAAAAATTCAACAAAATTTTACAACAACAACAAAAACTTTTATTGAGAGTTTTAAGATAAAACATACATAAGTATGCAGTTTTATATCCCATGTAATTACTTTAAGAAAGTGCAAGTTTCAAGTGGCTAGGAAGTCGCGTTAGTTTTTAATAACAAACATGCCCTTTCTTAACCCTTTATAACTTAACTAAATAAAAAAAGTTAAATCATACGCATTCTAATAGATTTTAGTAAGAAGTGAAACACGTATTTTTTAATTTTCAAGAGTTTTCTTGACTAAGTGCGTACATATCATTAAATCGCTAATAGGTACCCGTTAGAAATGAGTCGGCGACTAATCGATCCATTAGAACCCGTATGAGACTAGTTGCGAATAATTAATGCCCAATTGTACCCGATTGAGAGTAATCTCCGAATATGCTCTTTAGAGATTAGTCGAGCAATTTTTTGCAGGGAATGGTAATACATACATATATTTTTTGTTGGCGCCGTACTTCGGATTTCGGTAGCTGACCAGCAAAACTAGAAGCTAGAGTAACTTCTTTTTGGTTGTTTGTGTTTTCAAACCAAATTTGACAAGGGATGACGGAAAATCGTTCCACAATGCATCAAGCTAGAGTAACAGATTTGTTATCCTTCTAAACAACGGTAGCTACATCTATTCCTCCTACATTTGCACCATATTCGACGGAGTGCCCGCGACCCTTTTTAGAAATATCTTTATCTGTTGGCAATTTACAGTCAGGTATTCTATTTCGACGTATTGTTCCTAAGCTGAGAATCCGTTCCTTGGCCAAATAAATATTCTATCAGTGGCGACGACGTAAAATAGTTGTCAAAATAAAGCCTAACGTTTGAGGCAGCACCCAAATTTGGCTCCCCAGTCTCTATAATATTTTCAGCTCCAGATTCTTCTTCAAAACTGTACGCGAAACCGCTAGTGTCGCAAAATACAAATATTTTATATCCCAATTTTTTCGACTTTTTGGGATTATACCTTTTAAAGTTATACGTTAATTTTGTCGAGCAATTTTGCTCATCCATAAACAGCCTATCCGCGTTGGGACGCTCGCGAGGAAGTATCTTGGAATTGTCATTGTCTGTCCACTGGTATCGTTTCCTTTATGAAAGGTGTTCCGATTTCATAATTCCAATGTTTCGTCACTCTTGGATGATGTGCCAAAGACATCATATACATTATTCCAATAAATTGGTGGATGTCGAATTCGGAGACATGAAAATTCTTGCTGGGATACTTTTCTATAGCGGTATGCAGGA